TTGTGCGTCCTGTAAAAGTCACCTAATAAAAAACACATTCATGAACATGCACTCTTGCATACTTTTTAACCGACTTCACAAAAAGGAGAAAGGTTATCAATTCGTCGGAATACTTTTTTTTATGTGTGTTACCGTATAACATTGGACCACGTTAACCGATTTCTATAATTCTATAATTTTTTAAAGGAAAGTTGTTACTTCACAGGTGGTCCCATTCCAATTTGGTTTAAATACAATCATTGGATCATGAAGAGATTAATGATAATCTTAAATTTTTATATGAGAATGGAAGTGGGTTTGTTTTTTGCTTAAAAATTACTTGTTCAATAACTCACTTCCTGGAATACACCTGCAGTTAAATATTCAGCCTTATCGCGAATTCCATGCAAAAAAATATTTCCCAAATTTATAAAGCAAAACAAAAACTATTGTTTCCGAGGTGTTTTTGCTTTGCCTGTTAAATTATGGGAACGATTTATTCACGTGGAATTGGCGATATCTAAACGCTGATAGCTGTTTACCCACATACATTTGAATGCATTTTACTACAAAATTATTAATTTTTAATTTGCTTCATGTAGCTTTTTCGGTGATAACATGATTATTAGAGCCCGGATTTTTATGCGCATATGCGTATAAAAAACTCAAAAATATGCATTAAAAACAAATAAAATATGCAAAAGACTTCTCGTATTTGTTTTACTTTTTTAATTTTAGAAATTGTGATATTTTTTAGGCTTTTCTGATCTAACCGTTGTGTAAATAAAATGACTTTATTTAGCTTTTCCCTAGGAAAAGCCGTTTTCCCTAGGAAAAGCCGTTTTCCCTAGGAAAAGCTAAATAAAGTCTTTTTATTTACACAACGGTTAGATCAGAAAAGCCTAACAAATATCACAATTTCAACAATACTAAACTAGTCGGAAAAACAAAACACATATTTTTTAATTTTATTTATTTACTTTTACTTTACGAGTTTATATTTAACACAAGTATATATTGTAACTTTTAGTGCCACGAAAAACTCAAAATTAATTAAAAATATAACTAATATTTTAATATGTATTAAAAAAATTAAGCGCTTAAAGTAGGTAAAAAGTAAAAAATTCATTTACAATAAATTAAAAGTACAAAGTTATTTGCCATATTTTTTGTTAATTTGCTTTGTTCAGGGCTTTATTGGCAAACCAGATAAATACATAGTTTTTTAAAATTTTAAAAGTTAAAGTTTTCCCTATTTGGCTGCAAAAATGTTTTGTATAAGGAGAACGTTCTTTCTACGTTAACAATGGTGATTGGGGCGTACTTGAAGAGAGCTAGTTCATTGGGATTATAGCTATTAAGTAGGGATCATACGATTTGTATATTTGTACAGATTTGTACATTTTGGCAGTCATATAGTGTTGTTGTTTAGAAATTTGAGTTCAGCTCAACAAAAGAATTTCCAGACAACACCATTATGCCAAAATGTACAAATCTGTACAAATGTACAAGTCGTGTGATCCCTGCTTAACAGCTGTCATTTGGCTGCGGCCATTTGGCTACATAGCACACCCGATATTTCCTCAAGTTCCTTAAACCCCTTATTTTTTGAAAATGGTATAAAATTGTTCCTTGATTTTTTGCCCAAGTTCAGCCTGCATAGTAGTAAAAGCGGTCTCCACAAGATGCACTTGTTCAGCCAAGGATTTTTTTCCTTCCAATTTAATTATTGTTTCCGACGAGAAGCTGTAGTTTGTATTAATATAGGCTAACCGTGCTTCAATCGAATTTGAAGCTATTGATTTTTTCGCCTTCAATATTGAAGATGCGTCACTATCATTTAGATCTTTAAGAAAGGTTTGAAATTCCTTAAAATGTGGGCAATAATATTTTGCCTCCTCTAACGACGCTTCCCATCTCGTTTATATTGGCTGTGGCGAAAGAGCGATATTGTGATACATGTTCTTAAAAGGTTCAACGCACAAAGCAGATTTTAAAAATATTTTTTTTTCATTCGATATTAAATCGGCAATATCACTGAAGCGAGCTCTTACATCTTCGGCCACACGGTGCATTACGTGCCAAAAAAGTAACGTGCAGTAACTTTGGGTAAAATACCTTCAGCGCCTTGGCTGATTATACCATATCGATCCCTAACCGCCAAAAAACCGTAAGCGACATATTTTGCAAGCATTTTTCTTTTTGAAGCAGAAATGCCCCTAGAGCATCTAGATACAATTCTGCATCAAAAAGAAAATTAAAAAAAAAATTCGCTTACGTTTTTTTGACGGTTATAGTTCGACATATGGTCCTGCGCCAGTAACATTAAAATAATTTTCGACGAAATCAGTACCCAATAGTTGCATGTAATCACCAAATGCTCTTGCAATTGTGGAGTGATTTGTCCGTTCTAGACAAACGGCGTTTAATAAAAAATGCAATTAAATATCGTCGATGTTTTTGCAAAACCGTCTATGGCCAAATTGCAAAACCGCCTATCTTACCGCACTCAGATTTTACACGAGCGCGAAAAAACGGTATATTCTTTGAAGGCATTGCCTTGATAGGCGGTATTTTCTCCACATATTTTACAAATCTGTTGTTTTAATAACGATTTAACGATTTTTATGCATAAATCTCGATGCCTGGAGTTCAGGGTTACCAAATCTCATTTCTGCCATAACGGCGATTTAGGCGGTTTTGCAACTGGTCGATGGGCGGTTTTGCAAAAACATCGACGATATGCGTTTTTGACAAAATATGCCTATATATGCATTTAAGGCAAAATTTGTAAGAATATGCACTAACAAATCGATGTCATCTTAACACAAAACTCTTGATTAGCAACATTTGTTAATGTTCAAGTTACTATGACTTACAAAAAAAAAATATGTAAATGCATAGAAATCCGGGCCCCAATGATTATGAATGGGAATATATGGAGCTCCAATAAAATACTATAGGTATACATACATATGTACATATGTCGAAAATATTACATAACTTTGACTGGGCGCGTTGAATTCGGAGGGCAATTATTTAATAAATATATTAATATAAATAATATTATTTATAAAAAACTCCATTTTTGGAGGTATTTTCAAATCGGTCCAGATCGCTTAAATCTTAATATTTTGGTGGACGTCTTAAAATATAATAGATTTTATAATTCCAATGGAAAAACCGTACCGATTTTTTTTTGTATGGGGAGTGATGCAGTCTACGACATATATGGACATAAGTATATGTAATAGGTTTATTAATTTATTCCATATTACTAGCTCATTACTTTATCCAAAAATTTAACTTTGTACAAATGTATCTGTATACCATGATAAAAACAATACAAGTTAAATTCATTCCAAGGCGAATTCATATAAGATGGTATCGATTCAACAAATACAACAATTACTTGTATTTTGTTTTTGCTTTTAGTGGTGATTGTCAAATTTCAGCTATTCTTCTCCGAATGAAAAAGGGCGACAGAAAATGCAAACACTTTCACGTTTTCACTCACTCACTAGCAAAATATAAAAAGTTTTGACAATCAAACGCTACACACAGCTGATTAAACAACACCACCTTATATAAATTCGCCTTGATTCATTCTTTCAACTCGTCGGCCATGCTTTTTTTTCTGACGCTTGCAAACATTTTAAAATCATATAAAATTGAAAATAAAAAAATTAAATTGTTCACAATTGTTGTTTGAGATTGAAAATAAGAATGTGTGTGTGAGTTTGAGTTTTTAAATTATATTGCTGGCAAACGTCAGACTGCCTCTCAATGGTTTTACCTTGTTATGTTTTTATCATGCTGTATACATTAGTAATTGCATACATATGTATGTAGTATTTTTGATCATTATATTTTATATTTTTATATTGTCGCGCGTCTGTCTTTTCGTTGGGAAACGCAGATACATACTATAAATGTCTAATAAATTAAAAATTTTCTTCCGACAAAGCAACTCAAACCGAAATGCAAATTTTTTCGTTTACTAAAAATAACTAAATTAATACACATTGACGAATCTTAAAATAAACAATCAACCTCATTGCGAAAGTTGTAAATTAGGCTAAATTGTATGACTCGACAACATTGGCATTGTCTACTGTCGTACTGAAACAAGTAAACGACAAAAATCGTCGAAAACTGTACAGTGCTGCCAAGTTTTGCCATTTTAATTCACTAGTCGAGTCGAAATTTTAGGCAATGACATGAAATTTTCGATATGATTCGACTCTCGAAAAACAACTTGCATTCGACACGACTCTCGCAATGAGGCTGAATAAAAATTGAAATCAAATACAAACCATTACCAAAAAAATGTAAAATACAACTAACAGTTACGCTTGTTTTTTAGTATATCTATTTTTATTTCCATTTGTTTACACTTTATAAAAATCTTTTAAATATTTATTTTATACTTTACATTCTACACAATTTAAAAAAAACACTAAATCATTACTTGATAAAAAATAAAGTGAATACCAACAAAATAATAAAAATAATTTGTTCTTGGCTTTTTACACATGTTTCTGTTCGCTGACTTCTTCACAATTATAGTTACATACTTTTCATTATATGTATGTATATTACAAAAACAATAGTATCTTTCCCAATTTCATGGAATATACATGTGTATGTATATATGTATGTATGTAAACGGATCCCTGTCTTCAGAAATGCATCAAGGCGTCGCATGCGCAATATCGTTAAAATGACAACACCAGTCTCTTTTATTTCTAAACTATAATCGATGGAAATGTCCAGTATGCCCCATCCCGGTTAAAGGCCGAATTCGAACTTAGTTGTGCAAATGAGGAATTTATTTCCATCAATTATAGTTTAGTCATAAAAGAGACGGATGTTGTCATTTTAACGATGTTCAAGATGCTTTGTTTGGCTTGATGCATTTCTGAACGAAGCGGATGCATGTATGTATGTATGTATGTATGCAAATTGTTTGTAACTATATAAATATTTAGTTCTTAATTCGCCACATATGCATTTATCGATTTTCCTAGTATCAACTCAGCTCCCCAGAATTGCACTCATATAATTATCACCCTTATGGTCTGATATGGTAACTTTACGTAACTTATGGCTCTCACTCAAAAATGCTGTTAAATGGATGTTGCTTATAGTTGAACAGCCGAAACTTAACGTAAACTAATGTCACGTCGAAATCTGTTTCATTTTGATTCTCTAAGTTGTACGTTCCGTTAAGTTAAGTTAAGTTGCCATAATCAGGCTTTTATGCATATGGGTATGCATATTTCTTTCTTTCTCTTTTTTTACTCTGACTGGTTGCAAAAGATAGATCTAAATAAGCACGAAATACTTTGAAATTACAGAATTCTGTAGTTGAGTGGCGGTAACTAATAAACGTACATACATACTTATATACATACATATGTATAAAAACCTTCCTAGTTTTTCGAAGTCAGTTAAAAACACAATAGATACGAAAAAAGTAATAATTTAGAGTTATTTTTGTTAATGCTCTTGCCATTGATGCACACACACTTACACGTATAATTTGTTGGTTAATTACAGACTTCGTTATTTATAATATGTAGGTATAGCGTTAATTTTTATATTATACATTTTATGTAAAAAAGTTTCCATTGGCATACTTTGCTCGTTCACTAATTAATAATTTAATTAAGTGCGTTTTTTAAGTATAAATATTTTTAAAATATTTGTTCTTTTGTTGGCGAGATTCTCTTCTTTTACTAATTTACCACTCGTTTACCTAATATCCATGGTACTTATTATTGTTATGAGTACTATTTCTGTTGTCTTCCTATTATCTATGCATATGTACGTACGTTCACTTCTATTTTTTACATTTTTTTTTGAATATAACTTACACTTCACTCTGAGTTGGTGTTCAGCTTTCGACTCAATCTTATTCCTATTAGATATAATGGGAAGTATCCGATCGTCGTTATGCTTATCAACAATTACAGCTGCCAAAGTGTCAAGCTGCTTTCTTATATACGTATGTATGTGTAAATATACGTTTCTTCAGCTCATAATTTACACGTATTAAGTACTACATACATTTGACTATAGTTAATATTTTTTACATTCCCGACTCCGCGATACCTTCATCATCTGAAAAGTAGAGTAGCAATAAGATATATAAAAATTTTAAACTACATGTTTGCATAAAAGTTGAAAATGCTGCTCATGCCGGAATTTTTAGTGAACATTTAATTAGTATGGAAAAAAAGATAATGAATTTTTCTTAGTGTATTATAATTATAAGAAGAGTAAAAGTGCTGATATAACTGTGCACATGATATGATGCCTATGATAGCCATCTATATACATATTCGTATACAATACATCCTTATATAATTTTACATATCGCACACCGTTATTAAAAGTCACAACTCAAAATTTGGCATTTTTGAGATTATGCGCTAAAAATGTACAGAGAGCTTTTATTTACCTTTCAGCAAAAGCTGGAGCACATTTTTGTTATAATTTGTTAAAAAAAAAAACTAAGGTAAAGTCGACCTTGCCCATGTGCTTATCATGTGCTAAGAAATAGTTTTCCGCATTTTCTGACAAACGTATTATTTTGAGTTGTGACTCTTTTGAAGACGGAAGACGATAGACGATGGAAATATTTTAAATACACACTTAATTACAGATAACAGAAGAATATTTGCTTCAGCGTCAAGCGAAAAGATGACCCACTTCCATCTTTATGCACGTGTTTATTTTATATTTTATTTCGCTCCATTTCAAGGCATCATGCAGAAATATAGTCGAAATAAAGTGGATTCTAAAGTTAGTTTCAGCTTTTTTGACATACATACATATATCCAATTGTGTAAAAAAGCTGCATCTAAATTTAGTGTCGACTTTAATTTGACTATGAATGCGCTCCATAAAAACTAACAACTTTACTAACATTTTTATACCCGAGCGCACTTGTGCGGTTGCTTGTAAACGCCAAAACGAATCGAGATAGATATGGACAAATGTATACATAAATGCTCAGAAATCGATTAAGCCTACACGATAACTCGAGCAAAAATTGAGATATCTCAACGAAATTTGGCATGTAGGTTGCTCTTTATCAAAGGTAAGTTGGTATTGAAAAAAGGTGAAATAGGACTGTAACCAGGCCCACTTCCCATATAGCGGTATTTTCGAAAAAATGCAAAACTACGATATTTCAGTAAATATTGGATGCAAATTGTTGAAAATTAGTACGTGAAGTAGAATTGTGGTAACAAATAATATTATTATGAAATTTTTGGAAAATGGGCGTGACTGGGCGGGGTGATGAAATGCTGTATCTCAGTAGTCGCTTCACCAGTTCTTACCAAACTCGGTACGAGCCTTGGGTCTAGCTAAGAAAGCTGTTGAAAATCTTCGAAATCGGGCAATAACCACGCGCACTTGTCATATAACGGTAATTTACAGAAACTCGAAAACTGCGATAAATCAGTAACCGCTGGAGCTAATTCACTTAAAATCGATGACTTAGCATAAAATTAGAATATTATAAATTTTTGGATAATGGGCGTGGCACCACACACTTATGACCACAAATGTGTATCTCGGCAAGCGATTTATCAATTTCTCCCAAACTTTTTGCCCTTAATAACTTTAGTACGAAAATGAAATTCGTTGAAAATTATTCAAATCGGACTAAAATTACACTCGGTTCCCGTATAATGGTAAAATTCCGAAATACGAAAACTCCCTATATTTCAATAACTGAGGACGCTAATTTAATCCAAGTTAATAGTTACAACAATTTCCTTAGTAGGGATGCAGAAAAAATAACGATGCATCGGAAGCATCGATGCTTCCGATATATATCGATGTATTTTTTTCGATGCTTCGACTTTTGTGTTCAATGTACACTGTACATTAGGGTGCCCATCGCAAATGCTATTTTTGAGAATTTCAAGACCCTACCCCCTAATTTTATTCGCTTTTATGAGAAATATTATTGACTCTTTTTATACATTTTTTAAAGGTTATTTAGAGGTTGCGACCTGTGGATTTTGGTCAGAAAATAGGATTTTGTAGATTTATGAGTATTTGAATGACTATTTTTGATTGGATTTCAAAGATCGAATATGATCTCAGAAGAAGATATATAGGCCTTTTAAATGGTATATAATAATCTATTGTCGGACGTGGCTTGTTGGGATTTTTCATCGGGTAAAATAAAAAAACCCATATTTCTCTTAATTTTTTACATTTTGACCATAGATAATTTCCACAATTTCAAAAGATGTAGTGCTATCTAAAATTAAATCTATTTTTAAATAAACTGATAGCTCATTTATTGCAATCGCATAAAAATTGTCGAAGTTAGGGGCCTTTTCTTAAATACTGCCTTGAATTTATATTGTGTATGTACCGGACTTTCAGATTTATAGAGCAGTTGGCTAAGGAATTCATCAATATATATTCAAAATTGATATATACAATCGCTCTTGAGCAAAAAATTGGGTTTTCTAAAAAAGTTTGGAAAATGGGGGTGGCACCGCCCACTTATATCATATGAGTAGTCCACTTACAAAGTGCTCTATGTAAACTTTTTTCGATTTTTAGTTCGATTTCAGCTGCCGCTATTCGAATCAGGGATGAAAAAGTAGGTACAGTTGTACCTTTTTCCGACGTTTGATGACTTAAAGGTACACTAGGTACAATCATCTTTTGATCAGATGCATTTTTATTTTTTTATTTTTTTTCCTTTACCGCTTCGCTTTCACTTTGAAGAATAAACAATTCTAAAGAATAGTCAAAAGGAAGAATTTAAAAAAGTCATATTATGTATTATCTTAAACATCTTACATTGCATTTAGAGCAGCCACTACGAAAAATTAACACTTTACTTAGCTATCCTCAAATTCGTAATTTTTTTCTATTAATAAATTGTCAAATGAGACTAAAAAATGGTCTTTTGATTGATTTAGTTCAGAATAGGCCTTCAGGCGTGTACACGCGCTGCTAAAGCGGCTATTTGTAAGTTTTTGGCCCATAGGGATAAAGGAAAGTGTCAAAATATGTCAACAAATTTTGTTGTCAAAATATGACATAATGAAAACCAGCCTTTATTCGTCCATACAGTTCAGTGTCTAGGATGTCCTCAAATTTCATATTTTCTTTAGATGAGAGCTATAGCTATTTGACCCATATTCCCTTTTGATTTCTGGAAATATATTTAAAATGCTTTCGAAGTTTATTTATTTTCTCGGATAAATTAGCAGACTTTTCCTGTTGTTTTATAAAAAACTGGTTAAAGAAGTATACTTCGCAAAGTGTGTTTTTTGTCTTTCTCGCCAATATTTTTCAGCAGTCAAAATGAAACAAAAACAACGCTTCTCCGATTCCCATTAGATTATAGTCTATAGATATAGTCTCAGTAAAAAAAAACCTCATCATGTTTAAAGTACATCCATCTTTTGTATTTATATTTTAAATAAAATTTATAAAAAAACTACATATGAATGATGTAACTTTTTTTAGGTACAATCTGTCTCATTTAGGTACATTTATTTTATGATAGTACAATCTGTAATTTCCATTTTTCATCCCTGATTCGAATACACACATGTGCTCAGAATACACACATATGTATGCTCAGAAAGCACTGGTCGGTACCAGTGTTGAAGTTTTGTGCGACCAAAGGGACAATTTGACCATTTTAAAGCGCCAATTCCCTTTTACCCGACTTTTGGAAAATTTTGATGATGTGATGATGGAAATGTTTGATGTTTTATTTATAATTTAAGAAATATTAACAAAACCATGGCTTGGTCATGTCGTTCGAAGGGACATCGACGCTCCAGCTCTGAAAGTATCTGAAAGATCAAGTGGAGAAGGACTTGGCTTCACTTGGCGTTTCCAATTGGCGTCAGTTGGCACAGAGGAGAAACGACGGCGTGCTTTGCTGAACTCGGCCAAAATCGCTTAGGCGGTTACAACGCCAAAAAAGAAGAAGAAGAAGAACAAAACCATGCTATTAAAAAATATTTCCTCATTTAGTTAGGAAAAACATCACTTAACACTTTTAAAGAAAATGCAATACTTCTCCTTTTCCGTGTATGTTTGCAACACTGTTTATTATCTACAACATATGATAGTAGAGTGAAGACCTTAGACTTCTTTTATTAGTGTATATAAACAAGAAATATGGTGACCTTTTTTTCGTCAATGACCCCTTTTTCGACTATCTGAACATTCTCAACGGCAACCCTGCTGCCGACCACTGGTCTAAAGAAACGACTTCCTGTAAGTTCTGACTAAAACCCTGTATGCAGCTCTCAAGAAAACGGTCAAGAAAAAATTGCCATTATTTCGTGTGTGTGTCCAAGGAATTTTGACATTTTTGATACTTCACAGCCTGTTGCCTCACTCTTTCCTCAAGAAATAATGGAACGGGCATATATTTCTGTTGCAAGCCTGGGTTGCCTTGTGCTCTTTTTTCACAAAAAACTTTAGAAAACCGTAGTAGAAAGCGTAGTAAATTTCTTAAGAACTGCGTACTGCCTTAAGGAAATTTGACTCAAGAAAATTTCTTAGCCATTTCTTGTGCGTCATTTTATATGGAGTTTTTGCTTTTCTTGAGAGCTGCATACAGGCCTTTAATCGTGTAAACCGGAAACGTATTGGAGGAGACTGAAAGTTAGAAGTTTTATCTATCGCGTTCATTCCTCTTAAACTTCAAGAATTCTTTTGATTAAAGAGGGGAAGAGTCCTTAGCTTCAAAATCACAATTTTCACATTTATTTGGCAAATATTTTTAAATAGAAATACTTTAAAAACATGCAAAGTTCAAGAGAGAAATTCACTTTTTGTAGATAAGAACGGTTAAATTGAAGCGGATTTAAGAATTGTAGTTATTTGTGTGTAATAAAAGTAGTAACCAATTTGTAGGCGTCAATGTTTTATAAACAATTAAATTAATTAACTAAATACGCACAAACATACCAAATAATTCACTACACAAACTTTAGTAAACAACAAGCATTAGCATATTTAGATATTCTACAAACCCATAAACGGATTGGCGTATATGATGCCACCGTTTTCACCAACACCACCACTACCAACACCATTTAAAGCGGTTGTACCCT